TGCAGTGGCTAGCCACATACATGTGTCTTTTTACAGCGGTACGAATTGGTCCTGGCCGTAGAAGGGATGTGTTAAAGGATGCTACTGTTTGCTCCTGTCAGGTCTGTTTCGACTCACCAGCAGCCCGGTCCTGTGCCATCCTCACATTTGCCAGGTTTGATCCCATCATTGTTAATCCCTCTCTTTTTTGATGACTGTACATTACCACTCACGATATACTTCTTCAGCAACTGGTCCTTCCCAATATCATGTCCAAAGTATGGGGGGATTGAAGTCGTGACACCCTTCTTTCTAAGGAGAATTCTGGTTGCGTTGCCTCCACGGCAGATTGGTTCATTCCTCTGGAGGTCCCTGGTAGAGCCACTCTTCTTCCCCAGCACCAGTGTACGCAGCAGTCACTTGGTCTCCCATAGTCATTGTCCAGCTGTCATATCCACGAGGCCAGGGAAAGTGCCGTGACTTGGGTCAGGCGGAGATTTGTCCTCAGGTGACGTCTTCGCGTCTTTGCACTTTAAAGAGGACATTGGATCAGATCTGCCCGATGTGATACGTGATTTGATTTTTAATTTTATTTTTTACCGCTGTATCCGTGGACGGTGATTGTGGATCCGAGTCAAGTGGAAATCCTTGACAACTCCCATCTTTTCCATGTATCGTGATGCTGTTTATTAGTCTAGTTGTGAAGATTTTTGTTTTCTTCATGTTGAGGTGTCCTCCAGACTGAAGGCTGTGGCCTTTGATCGTCATCTGCAAGTGCTTCAAGTCCTCCTGGCTCAGCACGCAAGATGCTGTCATCTGCGTATTGTAGGTTGATAATGAGCCTTTCTGCAATTTTGATGCCACATTCTTTTTCATATATTCCAGTTTCTCAGATTATGTGGTCAGCGTACAGGTTGAGTAAGTATGGTGAAAGGATACCCCTCACACACACACCCTGATTTTAACCACGCAGTATCTTCTTGTTCTGTTCCAGCCTTCTACTGGTCAATGTACAGTTCTGCACGAATACAATTAAGTTTTGTGAATTTTTCATTCATTGCAATTAGCCACAATCGAATGCCTTTGCCTAGTCAATAAGACTGTAGTCAACATTTTTATGTATTCTTTGCTTTCAGCCACGATCCAACTAATGTCAGCAATGATTTCTCTCTTCTGAATCTGACTTGAAATACAGTGCTGCCTGTGATAGGATAATATCTATACATGTGATGGAGTGGCATTTCTTAGTATGGCTCTTCTACTGAAGGCTTTGTAACTTCCACCAAATGATGGGTAGGACTATGCAAATGGGGCATGTGTAACGTTAATAGAAGGGATTGGCCAGTTTCCATGATCTCTCCCTGCTCTAAGAACAAGTCATATCCGAAGCAGGAGCAGGGAGAGAAAACCCAGGACTACTGGTAAAACGTCCAAGATTTCTGTCAAGTGGCAGAGGCCACCCACACTAGATGCCCCAGCGTCAGTGACACGGAGACTAGGGCAGAGCGAGAGGAGCCAAGCTTAGACTCTGGAGGTGTGAAGCACAGACCAGGGATGACGATCAGAGAGAGACTTGGTTGCGAGCGTTGGAGAGGTGTTGCTGTGGACCAGTGACTGTGTCCTTCCAGTTACTGCTTCTGACGTGTAACTGTGAACTTCCCAAATAAACCTCCATAAAGTTGAGTATTGTCTACGAGTTCTGTGTAGCCATTGCAACCCAGTGTAGAAGTGGAGTGCCCCACAGGAGAAACGGCTGATGTCACAGTACAGTGAAGAGGATGGAGAATCGAGGCAGATCTGATGCCTGCTTTTGGGCAATGGGGAGGCCTGAGGAGGCTAGATATGGTCCCCCATGCTGTTTATAGCAAATACATGCCAGGGAATCCAGCCAATACAACCATTATTCAAATGTATTCACCAATCAAAATGGTGATGGAGAAATTGATGAATTCTGTTAACTTCTTTAGTCTGAAATTGATCAAATGTGATCAAAATGCATGGACACTTATTGGCTATTGAAATGGAAAAGTTGGAAATAGAGGAAGGAGCAAACAGTAGTTGGAAAATATGGCCTTGGTGATAGACATGATGATAGAGAACACATAACAGAATTTTTGCAAGACCAACAAATTACAGCAAAGACCTTTTTTCAACAACCTGAATCATGACTATACATATGGACTTTTCCAGACGGAATACACAGAAATCAAATATTACATCTATGAAAGGCAATGGAGAAGCAGCCAAAACAAGGCCAGGATCTGACAGTGGAACAGACCATCTATTGATTTATAAATAAGTTGAAGTTGAAGAAAATTAAAACTAGTCCACAAGAACCAAAGTGTATATCCCACCTGAATTTTGAGAACATCTCAAAAGTAGATTTGACACATTGAACACTAATAACAGAAGACCTGACAAGGTGTGGGCTGACATCCAGAACATCATATAAGAAGAAAGAAAAAGGTCATTAAAAAGACAAAAGAGGAAAAAAATCAAAGTGGATGTCAGAGGAGACTCTGAAACTTGCTCTTGATCGTAGAGCAGCAAAAGCAAATGGGAGAGATGGAGTAAACCTGAACAGAAAATATCAGTAGCTCCAGAAAACAACAGAAAGTATTATAATGCATTGTAGAAAGTACTATAATGAATTATAACAACAGAAAGTATTTAATGCATCACGTAAAGACCTGGAGCTAGGAAACCAAGGAGGAAGAACGTGCGCAGCATGTCTTCAACTGAAGAGCTCAGTTCAAAGCTCCAGCCTTGAGCTGCAACATTCAAAGGTTTTATGGGCAAAATACTGAACATTGCAGGAAGCAGCAAAAGAAGACAGAAGAAATATCTACTGCACCAAAAAGAACTAGCCAACATTCAGCCCTTCAAAAGGTAGCATATGATCAAGCATCTACACCATGAAGGAAGAAGTCCAAGCTGCACTAAAGGTATTAGGAAAAAAAAAAAAAGGCTCCAGAAATTGACAATACCAATTGAAATGAAGCACTAAATACATTCACTCATCTGTGCCAAGAAATTTGGAAGACAGATACTTGACCAACTGACTGGAAGAGATTCATATTTGTACCCATTCCAAAGAAAAGTGACCCAACAAAACACAGAAACTATTGAACAATATAATTGATATCACATGCAAGTAAAATTTTGCAGAAGTCCACTCAGCAACAGTTGCAGCAGTACATTGACAGGGAGCTGCCAGAGGTTCAGGCCGGATTCAGAAGAGGATGTGGAAAAAGGGATATATCATTGCTGATGGCAGGTGGATCTTGGCTATAAGCGAATACTAGAAAGATGTTTACTTTTGTGTTATTTACTATGGAAAGGCATTCGATTCTATGGATCATCACAAGCTACGGATAACATTTACAATGGGAATTCCAGAACATTTCATTGTGTTCCTATGGAACCTGTCCATGGCTCCAGGGGCATTTGTGTGAACAGAACAAAGGGGTTCTGAGTGACTGAAAATCAGGAAGGTGTGTGTCAGGTTTGTGTCCTCTCACTACACTTAGCAAGCTGTGTGCTGAGCAAATAATTTGAAAACTGGCCTCTGAAGAGCCCTCAGGGTTGGAGGGCTGATTAGCCATCTGAGATATGCAGCCGACACATCCTTGCTTGCTGACAGTGAGGAGGGCTTGAAGCACCTGCTGATGAAGATCAAAGATTGCAGCTTCAGTGTGGATCACAGCACAATGTCATGAAAACAAGTCCTTTCAACCAGACAAATAGGTAACAACATCTTTGTTAACCCTGCTAAAGTTTCTTACCCTGTAGCAGCCAAGCACGTTTACTAACTCCAAGTGAAAGGGAAAAAGAAGCTTACTGGAGGGTACCAGAGAAGAAACCGGCAGCAAGGGAGGCTATCTTTGTGGTGCCCTCTTGGAAATCAGAACACAGAGAGTATAGGCCTTCTACTTGGGAATTTACACTGTAGGGAGTCACAGATAGATGTTGTACTTGAACTCAAGTTGGAGGTGACCACAGGAACCAAGCGTTGACCATGAGCAAGCCAACAGAGCGAGAAGGTTCTTTAAGTCAGAGTCCAATCCCAGATGTCTTCGTTGACTGACGAGATAGCAAGGTCTTGCTTCTAATCAAAAACAGGTCAACAGGAGAAGACTCTCCGAGTCAGCTGCCCTTCCAGGTGACGTCTTTATCCCTCCTGTCTGTCTTTGAGCAATGTAGCGAATTATAAAAATTCCGCACGGGCTGCATTAAGGACCACACACCAACTGCATTTAGTAAGGGGGGTTGTTTAACTACATTAAGCTTAAGGAAAATAATTTGGTTACATCGTAATAAATGGAGAAAAGATTGAAGCTGTCAAAAATCAGAGGGCACGTTGTATTGGGTAAATCTGTGGCATAAGACCTCATTAAAGTGTTGAAGAGCAAGGAGGTCACTTGGAGGACTAAGGTGTGCCTGACTGACGCCATGCATTGTTGGTCACCTCACATACATGTGAGAGGTGGACATGGACTGAGGAAGACTGAAAAAGGGTTGCTACAGTAGAATTGAGGTGCTGGCAATGAAGATCGAAAGTACCGTGGGCTGCCAAAAGAGCAAACAAATCTGTTTTGGAAGTACAACCAGAATGTTTCGTCAGAAGCAAGATGGCAAGACTTTGTCTCACATACTTTGGACATGTTATCAAGAGAGACCATTCCCTGGAGAAGGACATTTAAGCTTGGTAAAGCAGAGGGCCAGAGCAGAGAAGGAATGCCATCGATGAGATGGATTGACACAGTAGCTGCAACAATGGACTCAAATATAACAATTTTGAGGATGGCGCAGGACCTGACAGTGTTTTCTATTGTAAATCGGGTCACACTGCGCATCAGAAGCACTATGGCCTAACAACGATACGTACATATATAACGTCCTAACATCCTGTTAGTGCTTCTTAACTTCTTGGGGGGAGGGGGGACATTTTGTCTTTAAGAATCCAGTGATTGGCAGTTGCCGCCCAGTCTTCCGAGGTCCTGTCTGCCAACACCGAGCAAATGGCCTCCCAAAACCGTGACCCAACCGCAGCCAGTGTCGTAGCCACCCGAAAAGGAGCCGAGCCCAGCAGGGGCGCAGCCCGGGGTTTCGTGGGCAAGAGGCTACAACAGGAGCTGATGACCCTCATGATGTCTGGCAACAAAGGAATCTCTGCCTTCCTGGAATCAGATAACCTTTTCAAGCGGATAGGGACCATCCATGATGCAGCTGGTACAGTCTATGAAGACCTGAGGTATAAGCTCTCCCTGGAGTTCCCAGTGGCTACCCTGACAATGCACCCACAGTGATTTCCTCACCCCCTGCTACCACCCCAACATGGACACTCAGGGTAACATCTGTCTGGACATCCTGAAGGACATGTGGTCTGCCCTGTATGACGTCAGGACTATTCTCCTCTCCATCCAGAGTCTGCTGGGAAAGCCCAACATTAACAGCCCTTTGAACACACATGCTGCCGAACTCTGGAAAAAACCCACAGCCTTTAAGCAATACCTGCAGGAAACCTACTAAAAGCAAGGCTCCAGCCAAGAGCCCTGACCCTCCCTGCCCTTGTGTTGTCTTCTCTTCCATAGATGTCTGTCCTCCCTCCCCCTCCCCACTTGATTTCTGTGTAGAACTCTTGTCTTAAGCTGTGATGTCATTTGTGTTTTGTTTGTTTTTTAAATTAAGTCTCCATCTGCACCCTTGTGATGATTATATTAAATAAATAACATTTGGGGTTGGTTTGGGTTTGAGGGGGAAAAAAAGAATCCAGTGAAAGCTATGATATCTAAAAGAGCACACATTTACATATGGGATTTCCATCCATTGTCAGGAATAACCAGGCCATCTGTGACCGCTGCCCCACCCGCCAGCCCCCATGGTTTCGGACAACCAGTGGCAACCTAGACAATGACAATTCTTCATGCATTTGGAAAAGATGATGAGTTATTACAGAAATGAGCAAACCAGCATATTCCAGGCCGACGCTTGGTTGAATTTTCGACTCGACGTCTAGAATTCATCACAAAATTGATCTCCTTATCACACGGTTTTTGATTAAAACCTCAAAAATAAGGACTCCTTTCTGTCTGACAGTCTTGGGGTCCCAAGCACTGCAGCCTCAGCCACCCGAGTTCCTGCTCAACTTACACACCTGCCATCACAGGTGCCTCGAAGTCTGCCTCCTGTCTGCAAACCCGTCATCCTCCTCCTCCTCCTCGGAGCTCTGGGGCTCCTTCAAGGCAGGGACCTTGACTTTCGCATCTTGGCCTCATTCTCCAGGGCAGGCAGAGTCCGGGGCCTGCAAAAGTCTATCAATGTGTGTGAGAGGGGTGAGCATCGAAGATACTACATTTATCGTGATGGAATTGAGTCTTGAGCAAGTTGGCCTCCACTTAGCGCAGAAAACAAAGCACTACACTCAGACCCACGTTTGAATCACAGGATCCCAGGCCAATTCAGTTTACTCCTGGGGAAAGAGCCTCGTGCACTGGCACTGAATTAACTTCTCACTCCTGGTGACCCCGCAGGTAGGACAGGGTAGAATTTCTCAACAGGGTTTCAGAGGCTGCAAAGCTTTACAGGAGGAGACAGGGCCTGCAGAGTGGCGGCTGGTGGGTCTGAACCACCAACCTTGTGGTGAGCAGCCTGGTGCTTAGCCCACCACACCACTAGCCCTAATAGGGAGGCTGAATCCAACTGCCCCGTCAAGTACTGGTCACGTTAAAGAGAGTATAAAAAGCATTTAGTGACCCATGGGCCAACACATTTAGGTTAAATCCTGATGAAAGGTTAAGCTCCTTTACATATTAGCTGTGGAACTCTGAGCAACTGAACCTCTCAGTGCCTCTTTAAAAACAAAAAGAGTGGGGTGGGAAGAGTGTGATCATACACAGAACTTCTCTCCAGGGGCATGTCGAGGGACTCTGACAAGGCTGCAGAAAGCGCGCTCTGCGTCAATGTTCACTGCTGCCGTTACCTGTATTACTGCTGTTAGGCACGCTCTTGTGTGGAAGCTGGCATAAGCATGAGCCTCAAGCGATTTACAAGCCATCCGAGTCAGTAGCCAGTGAAGTGCTAAACAGAAGGGTGCCAACTACACGTGGCTGTGAGCGTGTCAGTAACAGGGACGGGCAGAAGGGGCTGGAGACCCAGGGAAGGTTTAAGTCTGAACTTGTCAAGTCAGGCAGACTTGGGAATAGCAGGGGGATCCTCGAGGCTGGATGGGGAAGCCAAATGAAAGTACAACGGGCAGGGAGTTTGACAGCAGCTCTGGATCGGGAAGTGGACAGGGAGGAAGTTTCCAGGAATGGGTGGGAAGGGGCCCCTGGGTGGGAAGGGGCCCCTCTCTCCGTTGCTGGTTACACACGAGGACTGTAATGGGCTCGGGACCTGGGGCTCGGATTCTCGGTTGCAGTCAATGGGGAGCTGAGAACAGCAGGTGAATGCTGCTGTGTTCCCATGGAAGAGACTCAAACAAAGCCAAACAGAGCCTGAGTGGGAGAACCTGACTTGCCTACTAACACACCACGGAGGGCGGAGCAAACCCCAGGCCCCCTCCCTCCAGCTCTCCCTGGGGAGGTGAGGCCTGCAGCCCTGTCTGTAGCAGCCCTGCAGAGCTGTGGGGCATTCTTGACAGGGAAGGAAGGAGAGGCCTGTTGTTTAAGGGGATTGGTGGCTGCCTGTAGAAATTGCCTTCTAGGGCCTAGATTCTGGAAAAGAAGTATGTGAGGGGAAAAAAACACCAGAGAATGTAAGCTCTTGAGTTCATGTTCATTTTCACCCTATGTCTCCCAAATAGTTTGCAGGAGTGGGTGGAAGTTCTTTAAAAAAAAAAAAAAAAAAATCCTCTCCCAGCCTGCTCTCAAAGCTGGAATTCATTCGTGGGAGACTTACCAGGGTGGAGGTCATTACTCCGTGCAAAACGGAACTTTACCCAAAGGGCTTACATTCGCTACGTGTCAATATCAGCCAAAGAATGACACGAGAAAACAGGCTTTTCACTCCTGGAGCCCAGGCTGACCTGTACCCAGTGGCCAGGAGGAGTGCCCCAGAGGTGCGAGGCCCCTCGGCTGGCTCAGAGGGACCACCTGGTTTTGTGCCTCATCCAGTCAGCAGGTGCCTTTCCATCCGTCCTTCAGGAACTGGGAGAGCATCGGTCACCTCATAAATGACTGCGAGATCCACTTCCTGTAGCTACAGCCTTCTGCGGGACAGCCCCTCAAACACTGTCTATAGAGAACTTAGAGAAAAGGTTCCCCCATCCCCCACCCCACCCCCCCACACACAAAATCAGGAAATTGAAAAAAAAAATGCTAGTTCATCTAGGCTCAGGAGCATCTATCTAGTGAGGAAGTTATCAGACCCACCTAAGTCCCTTGCACAGGTGGAAAATGACCCTTCTCCAATGCATGTATATATGCATTGGAACTATAATATATATATACACACAGAGTAGTTTATATATATATATATGTGTGTGTGTGTGTATATATGTATATATATATATAAAACTGTATATCGTTTTAATAAAGGGGAAGGATAATGGGAACGTTTGTCACCCTCTCTCCCCCTGTTCACAAAGGGAACCTTTGGGAAAAAAGAAAAAAGCGGAGGGAACTTGGTTCTGAAGATCCCTGAAGAGCTAGAGAAATCCCCTCACTGGGGACTCAACCCAGGGAGAGTCAGCCCGCAGCCCCTCTGGGTCATCAATCCCGGAACTTCTGCTGGAGGGGCAAGACCCAGCAAGTCCCTGTGGCCTCCCTAGAGCCCAGGGAGAGGTGTGGTTGCTAAGGCAACTACAGGCTGCGCCATTCTTTGCAGATCCAATGCCACACCTAGGTTTGCATCTGGAAGGGGAGCCAATTAGCAGTGCGTGGCTTGTTGAGCTGCAGGTTGGAGCGGCAGTGATTAAGCTCACACCTCCCCATGCAGTCTTTAGTCCTCTTTGGGGAAGAAATGAAGATCACTGAGAACTTTGTCACTTCACATCCTTATGTTGCCAGGTACTTACAGTACCGAGTGAATCAGAATTAAACATGCACCTCGTCTCCAGCTAGGCAAAAAAAAATGTTGCTGTAACGATGAAAAATACAACTTTCCTCTAGTTCCTAAATGTTTCTCCCCGCCCCCACTATCATGATCTGAATTCTACCTTGCAAGTCTGGCTGGACCAGAGGATGTACACTGGTACAGATAGGAACTGGAAACACAGGGAATCCAGGGCGGATGATCCCTTAAGGACCAGTGGTGTGAGTGGTGATACTGGGAGGGTAGAGGGAGAGTGGGTTGGAAAGAGGGAACCGATTATAAGGAGCTATATGTGACCTCCTCCCTGGGGGATGGACAACAGAAAAGTGGGTGAAGGGAGAGGTCGGACAGGGCAAGATATGACAAAATAATAACTTATAAATTGTCAAGGGCTCATGAAGGAGGGGGGAGCGGGGAGGGAGGGGAAAACTGAGGACCTAATGCCAGGGGCTTAAGTGGAGAGGAAATGTTTTGAGAATGATGAGGGCAATGAATGTACAAATGCGCTTTACACAATTGATGTATGTATGGATTGTGATAAGAGGTGTATGAGCCCCTAATAAAATGATTAAAAAATGTTACTGTTTTAATTTTAAATATAAAAAGCATTATCATAGACATGATAAGAAATAGTTGAACTGTATTGGGCATCCTCTCATCATATTTTTGTTTTTAATTATAAATGTAGAGAAGGGAGGAGAATCTTACTTAAGGGGCTCTGGTGGCTCAATGGTTAACCTCCTAAGGAGTTAGCTGTTCACCCCTGACTGAAAAGTTGGAGGTTCAAACACACCAACTGTGTGTTGCAGCAAGTTGTGTGAGTCTGCTTCTGGGAGGATTTGCATCCCTGGAAGCTTTCCAGGGCAGTTGATTTGGCCTGACAGGGTTGCTATGCATCAGAATTGACTTAATGGCAATGGGTTTGGTTTTGAATATATCTTAAGATATTTTCAAACTGTTACATGTTTCTAGCCCTTAGCCACAGTCAAAGTCAGCCGCAACTCCTGGCGTCCCCATAGATCAGCCCATGTGATACATAGGGTTTTCATTGGCTGGGTTTGGAAAGTTGAGCTCACCATCCCTTTCTTTTGAGTCTGTCAGCCTGGAAGCTCCCCTGAAACCTGGCAGCCACAGAGCAACATGCAAGTCTCCAAGAAGGCACCAAGCTGTGAGTGGGCCTTTGGTCTGTTGGTCCAGTTTCTAGGTCCCCCCAGGGAAAATGTGAATCTGGCCACTGAAGCACTCCTGCATGAATTTACTTCCCTAATGCCAACGGCTGCCTAGTGTTCCATACTATAAAGGTTTTTGGGGTTTATTTTTCTTAATCCATTCTCTTGATTGATTTCCAGGGTGCTTCCATATTTTACTCATTGCAAACAGGCTTTCCTCTGTATTTAAAAAAATGGGTTTTTTAGAGAGAAAAATGTCAGGGTAGCCAGCCCCTAACAAATCATCACAGGTCCAGTAGGCACAATTGTACAGCAATAATAAGTAAAGATTACAGTAAAGTCATAGATAATAAGAGAGATAGAGGAGAAATTGAAATAATGGAGTCAGACACATTTCCTGGTAGCATGCTCACCTCAGCCCCGCTTGGTGGTCCACGTGAGGATGTGG